AGCCAAAAAAAAAAAAAAAAGAAAAAAGAAAAGAAGAAAAATGAAAAACAAATTAGAACATGTACTTACAAGTGGTTAAATATTCCCAGAGTGACACCAAAAGTCATGTGAATAATTCCTAAAATCACAGACATTTTCATCTTGAAGGAATTGAGGAAGGTGAGGCGGTTTGTGGCTAGGTTCCAAATCTAAGGACCAAACCAAACAGAAGCAATATAAGTTCCATTAGCAGGTGCTGCAGAGCTCCTAAGGATGGGGTCGCTCTCAGTTTACAGAGGAAATAACGCCTCTTGGTGCTTTCAACTGGCTTCCCCAGGCCAGGGCTTCAGTGTCAAAACCAGGGAGCTTGCCTCTCCTGAACCAGGGCTGCAGTCATTGCTGGATCTAGCTACAGAGTGGGGCAGCTTAATATGCTGTGAATGCCAATGGATCATGTTCAGACTGCAGAGTTGGCCTAAGTACACAAACGACACCCCTGGACAGGACTGAGGACACTTGAGATTGCGGACCTGAGACCTGCCATGTCCTGTGCATCACCTGAGCAGCCTCACCTACATCCTTTCCAGTCAACTTGACAGTGATGAGATCCACTTTCTGGACAGCTCCTCAGAAAGTCTTCAGGGCACTGGTCCAAAATCTTGGCCTCCAGGGAGCTGCCTACTGAGCCCTCTCATAGGATATGAGGAGCCTGGCACCCTAGAGCCACCTCAGCCCCTTCCCTTCCTCTCTAGACCAAAGGCAATTCACACAAACAATGAAGTAGTTCAGAACCTGTTTGGTGTCCATGAAGGGTCACTTCTACCAGAGGAAACGACTGGTAGACATGACCACAGACCCACGGCTGCTGACCACTCCTGCACTGACCTGGTTCCCCAGGTGGCAGGCTACTCCACTGTCTACAGTTACAGAGGGGTAGCAGCACCCCAGCACCTCCCCTTGATCAGGAACATGGGAAGGAAGCACTCACAGGGTCAATGCCAAAAGGGTAGGGGCCTCGGAAAACTCCAGGGATGTTCGGGTCCAGCTGCAAAGTCCTACTGTGCCTGATGGTACTGTCACTGTAAGAGAAGGCACAGCAAGGTTACTGTGTGCAGAGGAAGGGGCTTGGGGAATGTGCACCCCACCTGTGGCATCCTCGTTCCCAGACCACTTACTTCCAAAGCACCATCTTATGTTCCTCTTCAGAGTGGCTGGAGCTGTACATGGCAGACACGTTCCACCCAGAGCCAAAGATGTTCACAGACTTGGAGAAGCAGTCGTTGTAGATAAGGCCGGTGTACACCGAGAACAGCCCCATCAGCAGCAGGATGTAGCGGCCATTAAAGAACATCCTCAGGATCTGGGAAAAGACATGGTGACAGCAGACTCTCTCACTGGACAGTGGCTCAGGGGAAGCTCATTCTGGTTCATTCCAGCCACTCCTCTGGGGCTTCCCAGAAAACCACAATAGCAGATGTCTTACCCAGGGGTAACAGGCACACTTCTCTTACAGAGCACTTTTATACCCAAAGCTCTTGAGCCAGGTGTGGGACACACACCCATAATCCCAGAACTCAGGAGGTAGAGGCAGTGGGATCACAAGTTCAAGGCCAGCCTTTGATATGTAACAAGTTTGAGGCTAGCCCAGACTACCTGAGGCCATCTCAATCACTCCCCACAGAAAAAACAATAGACAAAACACAGCTCTCTTCCAGCCAAACAATGTCATGGCTCCCACCGTGCAAAGGTTGGCAGGCATGCATTACCTCCTGTGACTGGCTTAGCTTGGGGTGATTCTCATTTAACACCAGTAAGAGGGCAAACAGGAACATGACAAAGCCGTGCCCAAAGTCACCAAACATCACAGCGAACAGGAACGGGAAGGTGATGATGGTGAAGAGAGCTGTAGAGACAGAGGGTTGGCAAGTTCTCAGCAGGGCCTTAGGTTAGCATGTACACACACACACAGAAAGAGATCTCAGGCCAGAACAGTAAGGTTATTTAAATGCTATACTATGCTGACAAAGTGACAGCAGTGAGCTTGCCTGACAAACATTTACTACATTCCCCTATCCAAAAGCACCAACAGGGCTGGGCATTGTGGCACATGCCTATCATCCTAGCACTCAGGAGGCAGAGACAGGAAGATCACCAAGGGTTCGGGGCCAGCCTGGGCTACATCCTGATTATCACAGGCTAGTTAGAGCTACAGGGTGAAACTTTGTCTCAGAAATCTAACCAAAGCCAAAGCTGAGCTGATGTAAGTGTAAGACCAGCCTTGTCCAGATGCCCACCTGGGTTCACTTCTCTGTAGCTTCCGACACCATAAGCATCCACGATGTTCTGGAAGCCCTCGGTGAATTTGTTGGTGCGGATCAGAGTAGGCGGTGTTTCTTTCGTAGGGATTGTGTTCATGAACGAGGGGATTGTAGCTCCACTCTCTCTCTTCCACACAGAAAAGAAAGGAAAATATGTCTATGAGAACATATGTCTATGAGTCCCTGTGCCAGACATCAATCGGAGTGTAGTGGAATGAGAACAGAACTTGGAGCTGGGGCCCTTGGAAGGAGAGCAGAATGGAACTGAAGAGTGGGGATGGAATGCTGAGATTAGGTGGATGGAGGCAGAATCAGGCCCAGGGCGATAGAAAACTGATATGTGAGCCAGGCCAGCAGTGCAGGCCTGTGACATCAGCATTTTGGAGGTTTCAGCAGGAGAACCTTGAAAGGGAGCCCAGCCTAGCAACAGAGCAAGACTATAAGATACAAAAAAATATCCAAAAAAAAAAAAAAAAAAAAAAAAAAAGGAGATAAAGAAAAAAACCCTGATATTTAGGACTTTATCACCACCACCACCCTCTTACGCCCTGAGACAGGGTTTCTCTGTGTAGTCCTGGCTGTCCTGGAACTCAACTCTATAGATCAGGCTGGTCTCGAACTCAGAGATCCACCTGCCTCTACCTCCCAAGGGCTGAGATTAAAGGCATGCGCCACCACCACCTGGCTAGGACTTTATCTCTTAAAAGTGGTCAAGAAAGGGCGGGTGAGATGGCTCAGTAGGTAAAGGTACTTGCCTACAAGCCTGATAACCTGAGTCCAATCCCCAGGACCCACATGGCAGAAGGAGAGAACTGACTCCCACAAGTTGTCTTCTGACAGCCACAGGCACTGTAGTACCCACACATGTACACAATGCAAAATAAAAAAGTAATTTAAAGTGCTCAACAAGGAGGAAGTTAGACACAACTACAATATTACCTAATTTACAAAAGTGAATGTGGGTAAGAAAACAACAAAATTTTATCTTTGGGGCAGAATTTTCTCTGTAAGCTTTCCCCTCAGTTCAGTGCAGTGTTTACACATGCCTAGAAATGCACACCATCTACAATGAAAAACAGAGGAGAAAAAGACCAACACCAGGGAAAAGAGACAACTGGGTGCGTGTTAACATGGAGGGTGAGCTGAGTGCCTTTTCGGCAGACAGGAAGGAACCTGCCTCACTCAGCAAGAGCCAGAGCTGGGGAAATCCTTCTGGAAGACCGGCAGATGCTAAATCTCAAAGGTCACGGGATGTTCCACGCAGTAGTGTTTGTAACCAGAAAGCACCTGATGGATTAAAAACCAGGTAATAAACCAAGGTGCGTGTCTGCAAGAGAATCTGGTCATAAAAAGAGACATTTTATTCAGCAGAGAGAACAACACACAATCTGCTGTTTAGAGAGCCAATATCAAGCAGCCATGGCAGCCGCTACCCATCATCCTTTGCACTTTCCAGTGGAACTACAGGCCAAACACCAATCTTTAGACATTAAAAAAAAAGAGAGAGAGAGAAAGAAAGGCTACCTATCCCTAGCCCTATCCTATCTGGTCAGCTGTGATTAAGTGACAGGTGGGACAGAAGTAAAGCAGTGCCCTGAGGGAGGGGCTGAAGAGCCTGTGGCCAGCAGGAAGAGCTTCCATGGCTACTTCTTCAAGTCTTTGTCTTGTGATTTGTACAGTGCATTACTTACTCAGAAACACAACTCAGAATGCTCTCCCACATAGTGCCTGAGAGACCAACTCTTCTATTTCTTCATTTATATTTTTTCTGTGCATTATTGTTGTATCTGTAGGAGGGTGTCAGAACCCCTGGAACTGGAGTTATTGACAAGTTGTGAGCTGCTACGTGGGTGCTGAGAATTGAGCCTGGGTCCTCTGGAAGAGCAGCCAGTGCTCTTAACTGATGAGACATCTCCCTAGCCCCAGAGGCCCAGTCTTCAAAGCCTGTCTGAAAGCAGTGTCCCAGCCCCTTCCCAGCACTCAAGAAACATTTTCTGTGTTGTCTGAGACAATGTCTCAGACTGGCCTCAAGCTCTCTATCCTCCTGCCACAGCCTCAGCAGTCCTGGGATCACAAGTCTGCAAGTACCATGTCCAGCCAGTGACACACCATGTCCTTGAGTGGTCTGGGTCTGAGGGTCCTGGTGGGGCAGGGAGCCTTACCGAGCCTTCCTCCAGTGCTCTGCGCAAACCCGGCAGGTCCACCTCGGGGCACCAGACCTCTGCTATGAGACACTTGTTGGTGACATCAAAGCTGCACATGTTGAGCATATGGTAGATGGCTTTCATCTTCCTCACCTGCACCACACGGCTGCACACCGACTCAGCGGCCTTGCACAGCACCTGCCTCAGGTAATCCTCTGTTTTGTGCAGCACCTGTGAAGACAAGTGTGAGGGGTTCTTGTCCAACCAGTCTGACCTTTCCGGGCACCTGCTCCCATGGCAGTAACACCAGGAATGGCCAGAGACTGCCAGCTCTGCAGGGGACACACCAGGTGGCCTCCTAGAACAGAGTCCCAAGGGCACAGGAAGAGCTTAGATATCCTGTCACTGGCAGAAGGGTGACCTGACCGATCCAAACAGCCCTTTGACTCTCGCCTACAGCCAGGCATGGCCTAGCCCCAGTACCCCTGGAAGCTACCAACTCCCATTTCCAGCCCTTCTGTTTCCACCTGTGCAAATCTGATCCTGTCACTGCTATCAAGACTCCTCAACACCATCAAGAGAAACTCAAGTTTAAACAGGCAGGTGGGGTGCCGCCCACCACTAGAGCTTGTCTTCCATGGTCAAAGGACAATCCGGCATACCAAAGAGACACAAAGGGCTTTTCTAAGTCCCTTCACTACCACTGGCTTTGTAACTGCAAAACAGAGCATTTCCATGTCAGGAATGCATGGTGACCATCCACAACTAGCTACTAGTTTAACAGAGAAAGCAGATAGCCTCTCATATGCCCCCAGCCCTGGCTTACTCACAGTGTAAAGATCTTGGATCCGAGTATTGAGCCCCTCCTGAATCTCCCTGCGCTCCTCAGCCGTGTTTGGATACGGGTAGATGTGGCAGTGGTAACTAGAGGACAGAATTCAACAGTCTGGTGTCTTGTGGGACAAGAAGGGCTGCTTCTAACACCGGCACCAGGATCTACTCAGGCCAGGCACACCACCTCTAGCACCAGGCAGGGCAGTACTCCGATGAAGAAATCACAGTCACTATGGAGAGACCTTGTATGCAGGCTGTTACAGTAAACAGGTCTCAAAATGTTCTCAAATCCAACCCACCCTGCCTTCCTGAAATGCACCAATATCCTAAGGCTAAGATCCATCAAGCGCTGGGCATTGGTAATGAACGCCTTTAATCCCAGCACTCGAGAGGCAGAGGCAGGCAGATCTCTGTGAGTTCGAGACCAGCCTGGTCTACAAGAGCTAGTTCCAGGACAGCCTCCAAAGCCACATAGAAACCCTGTCTCACAAAAAAAAAAAAAAAAAAAAAAAAAAAAAAGAACCATCAAGCAAGCTGGACAGTGGTGGTGCACAGCACTTGGGAGGCAGAGGCAGGCAGATCTCTGAGTTCCAAGACAGCCTGGTCTACAGAGTGAATTCCAGCACAGCCAGAGCTGTTACACAAAGAAACCCTGTCTCCTGTCTCCTGTCTTGGGGGAGAAAAAAAAAGAACCACCAAACAAGCAGAAATCACACCTTAAAAAACATGCCAGGATGGTGGTAATCCAGCATTCAGGAGGCAGAGGCAGGAGGATCATCACTTCAAGTTGGCTACTGTTTCAGGGTTGACACTGTTTAGGCCAAGCCTTGGCCTCAGACATCCAGACAACACTGGAAGCACGCTGCCTTAAAATCGCAGTTGCCCCACTCTGCCTGCTGAGCTGTGCCTTTCTCTTTGCAGGAGCCACCAGCCCTCTCCCCAGAGTAGCCTGGTAAAGGCAACAAAGGGGCTTCACTGAGCTGGCGCAGCTTTCCTGGTCACACTAAAACATGTCTACTGCAAGGATACAAGATGTGGCTGGAGAGATGGCTCAGAGGTTAAGAGCACTGGCTGCTCTTACAGAGGTCCCAGTTTCAGTACCCAGGACCCGCATGCAGCTCACAACAGTCTGTAGCTGTAGCTCCGGAGATCCAACACCCTATGGTCTGCCCAGGTGATTACAGCTTGTGTCAAGCTGACAGTTTAACCAGCCAGTGCACTTGACAAGTCCTAGATGCATTAAATGAACAAAACAAGCAGAGGCCTACTGTAGCTCAGGGTGGAGAGCCTGCTTGGCAACTGAGAGGGCCTGGGAAGAAATCAACCTTTCTCACCAATCACATATCTTCTTAACCTTGTGGCCAATCTGTTCTCCCCAGAAGGAAATCAGGAACACGTACCACTTTATGACTTCGCCCTACAAAGACAAACACAGGGAATGTCGAGTCTGTGCCTGGCAGCTTCCACTCTTCCAGACCAAGTTCACTGCCTGGGGCATCAGGTGCAGTGGCTCTTACTGCAGCAGATCCATGACTGCAATTCACCTACTCATCAGCAACCCCCAAGCTAGTACACATGCCATTTCACAGGCATCTGCAGAGCCATACACCCCAGTAAGCGGGAGAGCACACAAGGTTGAGTTCTGCCTCCTCCCAGGTCAGCTTTTAAATTGAAACCAAGTGCCCTCCTCCATTACTGCCACAATGTCCCTGTATGTGTTTTTGTTGGTGATGGTACTGTTTAAGATGACCACCAAGGAGCATATATATCTAGAATCCAGTTGAGCAGTCTTCTGGAAATCTATGTGGATGAGCCTCACTCACCACCAGTTAGAGTGTAGTTCCCAAGAATCAACAATGCACAGTTAACAAGCAGTCAAAGAGAAACACCAAGTAAAGACAGACGTGGCTCACTAATGAAAAGTGACAGAGACTCTGGAGGAGCAAGCCCATGCTGCCCAAGGAACAGAGAAACCCCATAATATTTGCTAATTGAGTGTTTACAGTGACTTTAACAACATAATTCTGTGAATAATGAGAACCAGCTATCATTACAAATGTTCAACAAAACAGACTTCTATAAAGCTGAGCTGGGATGTGCAGAACTCACCTTGTGTGAACAAGGACCGGGCTCAGTTCCCAATACTAGGAACACAGATGAAGGTGCTCTGCCTGTTTGCCAGCCACTGCTGAGCTGCCAAGGCTAAGAGCAGGGAGCCAAGGAAGCTGTGGTCAGGCTGACAAGATGGTGGTGAACACTACAGAAAAAACCAGGCTGGGAGAGGCAGCAAGGCAGGGTGTGTGTGGGAAGAAGGTCCCAGGAAAGATGACTGTCAAATGTAGGGAATGAAGGTGAAGGAGAGCCACATGAACCTGAGGAAAGACTGGCCCAAAAGGAAAAGCACACAGAGACGCATGCTGGGAGAGGGGCAGACAGCTGAACATGGACAGACAGGGTTTGAGAAGAACAGAGAAAATGGAGACAGACAAGGCCCAAGCCACCACAGGGCTTGAGCTTTCTGCTGTTGGGTGATTCTGAGAAGAGTGAGAAGCCCTGGCAGGGATAGCTGGATGCTTGGAGGAGATCAAGGCAAGGTGGGGCAGGTGCAGGAGTGGTCAGGGATGCTGCAACCTAGAGGCAAGAAGAGAAGAGCCAAGATCCCAACCAGAGTGGGCTGAGCAAAGAAACAAGCATGACCCAGACTCCCTCTGTTTCTGAGTCCGGGGATAGAGTGGAGTGGGAAAAGGTGAGTGTCCTGAGGCTTCTGGCCTGAACCTCAGAAAGCTGCTGCTTTCTGAGATGGGGTCTGGAAGCCCAGACACAGGAGAATCTTAGGGCTAGTGTGCACAAAGGCTGGGCAAGGGCTCTGCAAAAGCCATACTCCAGCTTCTGCCTGTGACAGGCACTCACCGTCTCGGGATCTTCCAGGGACTCATCCAGCTCTGCATAGGTCACGATAGTATACCCTTTGCATGCCCGCCACAGCATTCTTTCAAAGGCTTCAACTTTGCCTTGCTGAATCAGGCCAGACACGAATCTGTGAGACAGTGAGGAGCCTGGCATTAGAGGACTGAGACCTGTGCCTCCCCCCAGCCAAGAGGCTGGTGTAAGAATCATCAAGCAGCAAGAAGCTCACATGCTAGACCAAGTATTGTTGAAGCAGCCTTTTCCATGAACAGCTGAGCCTTTAGTGAGGGGAAAGTCTTAGAATTTCAAGACCAAACCAGATATCCAGCTGCTCTGATCTTTATGAAATACCAGTGTGGAAGATGAAAATAAGCACCAAGGACTGGCAAGGTGAGGAGATGGGCAGAACCCACCACAGCCAGGACTTCTGGCCCAAAGGGCTGCTCCTTAAAGGAATGGTGACTTTCGCAGCCATTTACTTTCATTGGCTTCGGTTATGGACACAGGATAAGTCTGTCCTGAGAATCCAGTCACAGCACAGAATTCAGCCAGGAGTTTGGCATAAGTTCATCTCACTTCCAAAAATTAAATTGAAAAAAAAAATTAAACAACAATAAAAATCCTGTTCTAAGAACAAAAACTGAGCCTGGGCTGACAAGGTAGTTGGAAGCTACCTGTGAGTGCGAGAAGTCTCTCTAAAGGAACATAACTTCATACCAAACTTCACTAGGTGCCCAAATAAGTACTCGGGAATATGAGGGAAAAAAAAAAAAAAAAGCCATAGCTGGAGATGTAATTCAGTGACGGAGCACTTGCCTAGAAAGTGCCAGGCTCTGGGTCTCATCTCTAGAACCACAAAAAAGAAAAAGAAGGCTGGCAAAATTGCTTAATGAGTGGGGATGCTTGCAGCCACATCTGGCCTTACATAGTAGAAAAGAGAACTGACTCTGGAAAGTTGCCCTCTGACCTCCACATGCATACCATGCACCAACCCCAAAAACACACACTAGATAAACGTTCAAAAAAAAAAAAGAAAAGCAGGCAGGAGATAGCTCAGTAGTTAAGAGCACTGGCTATTCTTCCAGAAGACCTGGGTTCAATTCACAGGACCCTCAAAGTAGCTCACAATGGGCTATAAAACTTCAGTTCCAGGAGATCAAATGCCCTCTGTTAGCCTCAGGCATATTCATGGTATCCACACATACAAACAAGCAAAAACAACCATATACATAAACATTTTTAAAATTAAAACAATCATAAATTTAAAAACAAGTAAAATTTTTTAAAAGAAAGAAATGAATTTAAAATGAATTTTAAAATTTGCCGGGCAATGGTGGTACATGCCTTTAAAACCAGCACTCTGGAGGCAGGAGGATCTCTGTGAGTTCGAGGCCAGCCTGGTCTACAAAGCTACAAAGAGAAACCCTGTCTCGGGGAAAAAAAAAAAAACAAGAAGAAAAGAAAAAAAAAAAAAATACTAGCACTTGGGAAGCAGGGGCAGGTGGATCACTGGTCTACAAAGTGAGTTCCAAGACATCCAAGACAGTTTCACAGAGAATCCCTCTCTTAAAAAAAAAAAGAATTAAGTAAAACTTAAAACAAGGAAAGAGGAAAGTCACATACTACACAAGGAAATGAGTTCTCGTTGGGTCAGGCAAGCAGGAAGAACAGACAGCAGTGCCAGATGTGATGACACACACCTGCCATCCCTGCACCTGGGAGGCTGAAGCCAAAAATCAGAAACTCAAGGTCACCCTCAGCTACACAACAAGTTTGAGGACAACTTGGGCTACATGACACCTTATCTAAGAAGAAGAAAAGGGTGAGGAAGAAACAACAGAGAAAACTAAAGAACAGAGACAGAAGCAGCCATGGAATTAAAAATGAAACCTGAGTTTAACCCCAGCCCACATGACAAGAGAGAGCTGACTCCTGTAAGTTGTCCTCTGACTTATGGAGTAAATAAATGTAGAAGATACTAAAACAAAAACAAAAACAAAAAAAAAGACAAACCAAAAAAACCATCACCCCAGAAGAACCCCATGCTTCCATCACAGGACTTGGTGTTTCAATGACCAATTATGTTGGACTTGTGGGAGTCAACACTGGGGAACATAAACATTGCTTCTTTCCAACTCAATATACCAACAGAATAAGTCCCCACAGCATTCAGCTATGTCAATACTGTGTGATTAAGTCCAATGTACAGGAGCCCAGTGTTCTCTGACAGACTCTCGCTCTGGGCCAATCCCAGGCTGTAAATGACCCATTCACCCGCACTATGGTCCATGTCTCCTACTCTACGGAAAGGGCTTGGCTTAGTGCCCAGTGTCACCTACCCCAGCTTGGCACCCAGTCTCTGCATGCAGCTGTAGTCCAACAGAGAATCATTCTCTAGGGCAGGGAACTCTTCATAAGTGGGTTCAAACTGGAAAAGCATGGAAGCAGCACCGTTAACAGAGTCCACCCTCACAAGCTTCCAGACAAGTCCACGGAGGTATGGTGCAAACTGAGCACCAGGTGCAAACGACAACTGAGACAGGTAAACTGCCCCGTGAAGAAAGAAACACTCTGCCATGCTCGTCAGGTGAACTGCTTGAAGACATTCACACATGGGAGTGTCTGTAAGTAAGGCTGCACCTTGGTTCAAGAGACAATAACCATATCTAGAGTCACAACTAGAGCAAATAAGAGCGAACTCAGAAGGGAAGGGATCCATCCCATACACAGCCAAGTGTAGCGCAGGCTGAGCAGCCGTAAATAAGATGCAGTGCTCTGAGCATATGGTGACACTCGGGGCATCCACACAAACACCCCCAGCCCAGAAAGCCTCCAACACCTGTGTGAACAAGTCTTCACTCATGAGGAGGTTCTTCTTGCCACCTCTGCTCACAGCCATTTGGAAAAACAAAGGTTTTTTGTTTTGTTTTGTTTTCTCATGACCATAAAATACTTTGCTTGGGGCTGGAGAGATGGCTCAGTGGCTAAGAGCCTTGGTTATGCTTCCAGAGTTCCTGGATTCAATTCCTAGCACCCACATTGCTGTTCATAACTGTAACTCCAGTTCCAGGGTTTTGGGCCTCCATCTGCACACTTGGTATGCAGGCAAAATACCCATACACATAAAATAATAAAATAAAATAGAAGCCAGAAAAATGGCTTAGGATTAGGAATGCTGACTGTACTTCTAGAGGACCTGGGCTGGATTCCCAGTACCCACATGGCGGCTCACAACCCTCTGCAACTCACACATGTGGTAT